AAAATGGTGGAATGTGCCTTAGGTTTTGTCATTTGGATCTAAGGCTATTTCTTTAGTTCAGGAATATCTTAATGTGAAATTAAAGTTAGTAAGCTACCTTTTCAAGATAATATCTTGTAAGAGATATCTCTGCCTCAAAATTTTACGTTGGTTAATACGGCTGGAATTGCACTTCCTATGTGCATCTAGGAGCTATTATGCACTCTTTATTTGCGGATATGGATCTATTTGCACTCCTAAATCAATTCTCTGGGGTCTACATATTGGATTTTGGAGATACAAACAAAATGGTGACACCCAAAAAGATGCATCTAAATTAAATTTCATGTCTTTAACGGACTATTAAGCTATTTATCAACTATAATGAGTGATGGGAAGATAGAGGAGAAAAAAAATACACATGGCCTTTTTATCAATTAAAGAAAGCTTGTAATAGGAACCTCAAGGAGATATGGGGTGATGCGGTGGTTTTAGAAAAGTAACATATAGTAGGTTCATTGATGGCTTTATAGATGTATATGAATAGAATAAACTAACTCTTTAAGGATTGAAAGTTATTATCTCTTTGCTTATGGTGAAGCTATTAGACATATTAAAGATAACATCCCATGGTGCCTAGTGTTTTCATATTACTTAATGAAACCTAGAAAATTATTGATGGAGAATGGAAAACAACAGGGAAGGAAAAAAGGCATAAGCCTTTTGCTTCATGCCTGGCTTTGATGGTATCACTTGAATTAAGGTTCGTACACATATTGCATCATATAATTTAAAAAAATAAAAATATTTTTCCATGAACATCTTCATCTTCCTTATTGAAGACATACTAACATTTATAGACTTTAAAATCTTGGTCATGAAGAAGTAGTTTTAATAAGAAAGAACGGTAATCATATTCAAATAAGAGAGAACATTCAATAGGTTCTAAGAGAATATCCCAAATCAAGTAAAATTTCTAATTTTATGTTTTCCCTTTTATATAGATAAGGCTCAAAGAAATTTTCTATTAAAAATTTCTATTACCAAAAAAAAGTCTCAAATCATCTTTTTCTTTTTTCCTCAATTGTCCGTGATCTGATTTTAGTGGGACTGAGTTGTCAAAGTGGGATACTTGATTAGTATTTGGCGTTGACAAAGATATAATATATTAGTCTGGGACTTTGATAACAACACTTGTAGTTTTTTCCTTTTAAGAACCCGTCCGCACTTCTGAACTAAGTTCAAGACTAAATCTACATAAAGGGTTAGAATTAATGACCTCAAAATTTAAGTCGCTTGCTCCTTGAGTCTCTGATATATTTTATAAGAACAATGTAATTAATGCATCAATTTTGTAATTGTTAATATCTGACCTTAATTATTTAATTTAGTATAACAAAAGCAACCACAAAGCCTTTATCCCAATATTTTCGGGTCATCTATGTAAATCCTACTCTTCCATTTGGCTGTTGAAGGCTACTTTTTCACTTAGTTAGGCCTTATCACATGATTCATATCTTTAATAATTTCTACCATATTCTTACGCCTTTGTCTATTCCTGCCTTCTCCATTAGTTATAATCTTATCACTCCTAATCAGGCATTTAGCGGCCTCCATGACAAAACCATCTCAAGTGATTCTTGCTCATTTTATCCTCTACAAGGGAAATTACTAACTTACTACAAATGCACTCATTTTTATCCTACCATTACAGTGGGTTTGGATAGAGAGGAAGGTTTTGGAGGGGAATGATTGGACTACACCCACGGGAGGGGGATGGAAAGGAAAAGAATGGAATGTCATAATTTGTGTTTTGATAGATACGAAGGAAAAAAGATGATACACTATTACATGTGTTTGTTTAGAGTAAATGAAGAAAAAAGGAAGGAAGCAAGATGACTAATATACCCTTATCTATTCATAGTTTTTTATTTCACTTTCTCTTTGGTCTAGCAATATAGCAGCTGCACTTGATAACTACCATATGCCTACATGATTGATTGCTAAGCGGATAAGAGCATGATGAATGAGCTAACGACAGTCTTCTTAATAAAACAAACAAAAATGTGTTATTTGTCTTTGTTCTTCAGTGGAATTAGCTAGTCTTTGCATTCACCTCCTCAACCTCGGCTTCTAACTAAAGTGTCGCCTCCTCGTCATCATTGATCACCGTAATATCATTTTATATGACACTATTACTGCTGGGTAGTAACAACACATTATAATAAGAAAATAGTTCCGATCACCATTAATCACCAAAATCTCATTTTAAGACTATTATTATTAACACGAGACAATTGCAATGAGCTGAATTCCATTGTACAACAAAGACAAGTGCAAAGGCTAAATTAACATCAACCTGATAGAAAGCAAACACAGGGCTTCTGACTCGATAAATATGAAAACAAGATTACAAGAAAAATGTCACAAGTTCCCTCCATAATGTTACCTAGATAAAACATCACAAGAAAGCAATTCCTTACAAAAAAAACAAAGATCAAAATCCATGTGATCATGACAAGGGTAGTGTGTCGCCAATGGTCATGACAATCCTCAAGACCCCATCTTTGCATCAGCACTAACAAGCTAAATGCAATATTCTCATCCAAATCATATTGCAATCAAAACAGGGAGAACCATGGTTTGGGTTCAAGGCTTCCCTCAATTAATCATACAGAAAAATAAACATGCAGGAACATCTAATATGAAGAAAACACATGGGAATACAAAATCAAAGGCAAAAAGTAAACATAGAAACCTAAAGTTGCAGCATTGCCAGAAACACAAGGAAATCCTTGGCTACTAAAATGCAGCTTAATTTGCCATAACCTAGAACTTTTACGGTATCAGTTACATAGCCTAAAAATGGCAACACAGTCACTAAAAAAGCTAGGTAAGTATGAGAAGAAAACAAAAGTCATGCTTAGCATAGTTTTGCACACATATATTTTATGTCTCTAACATAGCCATAAACAAACCTTTGCACTCTTCATGTGGGACTACAAAGAATCCACCCTTCATATCGGGATTTTTAACCATTTAAAGATATGCTTTGCTTCGTAGATCTTTTTCAACTCCAATAGTTACCAATTCAACATGAATATCTTCACTAGTGAAGGCAAGTGACTGTGAATGAGCATACATGGCATTTCCCTCTCTAATTGCTTCAGCTACATGCTCTACTACCTCTTTCATCAACAAAAGTTTGTTATCCTCTTCCTTTGCTAGAGGAGCCTACTTATCTTTCTTCTTCTTGTGCTTTGAAGATGTTGCTGTAGCATGTTCTTTTACAGGAGGTATTATACACAAGATCATCATTAGGATGTGGGAAAACCTCTATGGTCATCTCACCTCTAGAAGCCAACATGTCAATATATCATCTTCACCCATATTTGTTGCATTTTCCAGACATTGACGCTTCTCCTTAGCTGTTATAGCACCCTCGCCAGTCGCTCTATCTTTACCAAATAATTGCAACATCTGCTCATAGTTATGAACGGGATTGTTCATGTATTTTGATGCATCAGGGTTTGCCTATATGGAAAAATAACAAAATAAAATTAGTTATAGTGAACAAACAGAAGTTGATGAACGAAATTCCATGTTAGCCCGTCAAATCTTTGAACTTGCTCACAAGTCCCTCAAATCTTTGCAATTTCAAAGATTTCATGGACAAATGAACAATGTCAAAATCTTGAGGGACTGATATGAAATTATTGAGGATCTAGGACTAATATCTAAATAACCATAAACCAACAGAATATATATACCTTCAATAGAGGTTCCCAAGCTTCACGATTAGCCGTCCACATGCTTGTAATTGGACACCAAGCAAATCCACTAAGGTTTTTGAATAGATCAAAGAAGCTGCTGAAATTTTGCTTCATAGTTTTCAAACGATTTTTCAGTCTATCTTTGTTGATATCCATCTCTGGTTTTTTCAGTCAACTCTCTGGAGACATTAGATGAAGCAATGCTAATCCAATTTCCATTCACTCTATTTCCGATGGTTTGTTGATGCAAAAGTGCATCAATCAGGCACTTTTCCATCTTTTCCGTCCACTGTACTTTATCACTTTTGCGTTCATCTACACTCTCAATCGGATCATTGCCCATACTACTTTTTCCCATGTTGTCTGTACAATAAATGCACCTTGTGCATTTGAGACTGGTAGTATACAAAAAGATTCAAATATATATATATATATATATATATATATATATATATATATATATATATATGAGAAATATGGGTATGCTTGGTACCAAGCACAAATTTTGTGCTTGGTAGTGATGTGTCCACATCCTCATGCCACTCACTACCCATGTGAAATTGTTCCCACATTTAAATGAGTGGAGGAGGATTTGACACCTCACTACCAAGCACAACGTTTTTGTGCTTGGTACCAAGCCATACCATATTTCTTCTCTCTCTCTCTCTCTCTATATATATATTATATATATATATATATATATATATATAATATATATATATATATATATATGTTGTCTGTACAATAAATGCATACAAGTAAATTTATCAATATGAAGAAGAACCTTGTGGCATTTGAGACTGGTAGTATACAAAAATCTATATATATATAGTATATATAATATTATATATATATATATATATATATATATATAATATATATATATATATATATATATATATATATATATATATATATATATATATATATATATATATATATATTATATATATATAGCTTAGTCATATATAGCATTAGTCCTAGGCTATGAAGCACGGACACGCATAACATGAAGCCGTGTCGTGTCGTGTCCGTGTCGGACACACGTGTCGAACACATGTATCCTATGTATTTTTTAGGATTTGTCTCGTGTCGGCGTGTCGGATGGCCGTGTCGGATCCGTGTCCGTGCTACATAGGTCCTAGGAGAATAAAACTTGCTATATTAGATGTAAGGGAATAATAAGTACTATTAGTGATATATACTTGAATCACATATAAACTGAACTTTGTTTGTACAAGTGGAAAAACACAGTGAAGCTAAGTTTATTTTGAGAACCTGTACAGTCATAAGGGGTTTCATAAAAATATAGAAGGTCAAAACTATGTATTAGTTAGCAAAGAAAACATCTCATTGCGTAAGTTTCATAAGCAACCCCAACTTTTAAATTTATATGTGGACACTGAAATAACTCTTGTTCTTGTTTTTTAAATCTCATTAACGCGTAGACTTAGCTAGTTATCTGCAAGCATTGATTCATGGTCGTACAAACTTGTATATTTGAGTATATTAATGAACATCCATTATAATTAACTAGTATAATTTTTGATATTCTCTCTGCAGATGAACAAACCAAAATAAATAATAAAACAACACATCAACGACAATAATTAAAGAGTTAATATTCAATACAACATCAAAAGCTTGCCATATAAAGATGGGATTCTCATACAAATAGAAAGTAAAAGCTCAATAAACCCTTAATTAGCTAAATAATCAGTCCACATGTTCATTGCTATGGAGTCCCCGATAGTTATTGCATGTTGAGCATCTTGGTTATCTTCCAAAGGAGCATGAGCAGTAGCATTTCCATGTGTTTGACTTTCAAGCTCACTATCCACTGCAGCTATTAATTCTTCATCTGGATCAACACCCATTAGGTAATTATGAAGGATGCAACAAGCCAATATAATCACACTTTGAGTGGTTCAGTTGAGCCTATAATATGAAATCTACTCTTCAATACCCCAAATGATCTCTCAGTTGTATTGTGCAAGGATGAGTGCCTAAGGTTATACAACTCACGAGAATTTTGTGGTTGTCGAGTAGAATATTCTTTCAAGTGATAGCGTACACCTCTATATGGCGCCATGAGTCCACTTCGATGCATAATTATACAATCAACTAGATATGCCTATTATGATGAGCAACATCATTTTTATTAAGTTGCTTAATCATATGAGTAATTTATAAATAAATGTACTTTAGTTAATTACCTTCAGGAATATTGAGACTATCTTCTCTTCTTAGAGCATTTTTTATTATCCTTGAGTCATATGCAGTCCATTCCCATCTAGTTAAGACATGTAAATTTCATATCACATGAACATGCAGTTAGCACATTTTGCGTTGGATAATCCTTTCTACCCTGATAGCATGGTGTGAGCAAATTGGAAACTTTAACACGAATATGTGTTCCGTTAAAAGCCCCAATACAATCCTGACATAGATATACAGTAGATAGTGTTTACATTTTGTCAATTGAAGTAAATAATTATAAATGGTTGGATGTTATAGTTACCTTAAACTATGGCCAAAACCTAGAACTGTTGGTAATTTCTGGAGGGACTTCCAATCCATCAGGTTGTCGAATGAATATTTCTTCCAATAGAATTGTTGGCCTTAACACTCTATGGAAATGTCGACTCATAGTTTCACCAGAACTACAAAAATAGCATTGGAGGGTACGATTAAATGAGTTCACGCCTAAGATGTTAAGGAAAGTGATAACTTGTTCTTCTACCGATGCTAGACGTGTACTTGTAAGACCACCATGGGTTCTAAGAATGCCACACAAATTGATAAAAGTTTCTGAACTCATTCATATAAGTGAGCGTGCTTTGGGACTTGTTTTAACATGGCGTATGAGTTCTTCACGCACTCGTTTTCTTTCTTCATATGACTGTTTAATGGGACTATCAACATTCCTAGAGTACATCCTTCGTCGAATATACCAATTCACCACTAGGCATGTAATATACACGACATGCAGTCGTCGAGTCGCTCCCACATATTCGAGACATTTCTTACTTCACTTTGTTGACTATGCATTCACCAGAGTTTAGAAAATACAATCAGTAAAATAAAAAATTGACTATGTGAAACTTATCTTAATTGACTTAACTAACTAATGAATTAACAATTAATAAAATAAATCATTTGAAAAATTATAATCTAACCTGAATCCATTCAATGATTGATACTTAATTGTTTGTCCACAGTACAAAACATATAATATAAAAATAAGTTTGATATTTGTGATCCTATAAAATTTTCTACGAGAGGATAATGAAGCAATGATCAGCAAATGCACGAGTCTATAAAAAAAATTATCTTAGATAGCAGAAACATACAAGTAAACATAGATTTCAAGTGCTAGTAGAAAATGTATACAAGAAGAAACAAGAGATACCTGATTCGTTAGGGCTCAGCTGTCCAACTTCTCTCTATTATATATTTCTCTATAGAAAGAAGACTAGAAACAGGTGAGTTTTTCTCTCTGATATACTTCAATCACCCAAGTTTTTTTTGTTGAGACGTTTCGACTACCGCTATAAAATCTAGAGGGATAAGTTTGGTATCTTTTAAAAGTTTCCCTTAAAATCTAATCCCTCCCCTCTATCTCTCTAGTTTAGGAGGGTTAGGAAAGTGGCTAAATTTGCTATTTTTACCCCTCCCACCCCTCCCACCCCTCCCTTGGTGATTAGAATTTGTAACCAAACACAATACTTGGATGGGTAATATAATAACCAATCCAACCCTTCCCCTCCCATCTTTAAAAACGCTATCCAAACCCACTATTAGTGTATGTCCACTCATTCACCATAACATTATCATTTTTGCTATACTCTTCTTTTGCACATGTTTTTTTAATTTGTTAACATTCTGATTCATAAGGCATTGTAGGTCTAACCATTGTATAAAATTTCTCGAAATTTAGTGGTATTCTATGACCACATAAGACTCCCTAAATACTTCTCCACTTTAACTATCTGATTTGATTTGATTTACCACATTAATGATTAACTAATACATTGATTTGACAAAACAATTAAATATTTACATTTATACATGGGTATGTTTAAACCAAATTTATTTGATTATTAAACTAATTAAGTAATTAATAACTAAACCTCACATGTCCATATATTTGTAAGTCACATAA